TTCGACTTATTCTATTCCTATTCTCTGGAGGGTACGGTTGTGCACCAAATAGAAAAAAGACATGAAATAAAAACAACTGGCTTGAAAATAATTGTATTAAAGCCAAAAGTGGACATCATGATAGTATAAAATATATTGGTTTCATTATACATTGCAAATGAACGTTGTCGGCCTAAGGATTAATTACTTCCCCATTCTGTTTTCTATATAAATGTGTTTATTAATGATATATTTCACTCACTTAATCTATTACACTTTAATGTTTCACCAGCACTTTAATTTTTCTAAAACAGCTTCCAATCCTTGTAAACGTTGTACTTACCTCAATATTGGTTGGTTATCGTATGCCTACAACCACGGGATGAAAACGAAACGAAGTCGATTTTCCCGCTCAACCTGGAGGACAACTGTACAATTCAATAACTATAGCCTGGTTCAGACAATGAGTGTAATTATATTATGTATCAAATATTTAACTGTTGAAACATTATTAACTTGTAGACAATTTAAGATTTGACATTATATCATCCTTGATCGTGCCTGTAAAAATGGCATGCATTTTCATGTAAATTTATGTTTGTACGAAAGTAAAATTATTATAATATTATTATTATATCAGGTGTGAGTCGGTAGGGGATCGAACCTCGGACCATGTGCATGGTCGGCGAGAGTCCTAACCACTGTGTCACCGACGCACAGTGTACCTAAGACCTTGTTAAATTTAGCTGGGCACCTTAATAAGTACCAGCTGGTGTCAAGTTAGGATGGAGTCTCTACATATGATCTCATGGATACTTGCTTTAGTGCATTAGTGAGTTGTTTCGTAGTCACTAAAGGTGCTAGGTGCTCTGTAGGTACATCCTATTAGTACCGCAGTACTTTTGAAGTGCGCGATGACCCACAATGTGTCGTATATGTCATTGAGTTCCCTATTTTCTAGCTGCAATGCAGTAAGTGTGTTCAGGAAGTACATAAGGCGACCTCGTCCCTTACCACTATTCATGTCACATCGAAAATGTGCGTACCCACTGATGCTTATATCTTAGTCTGTTACATTAAAGTGACACCAGTATTCAGTAATAACAATTATTGGAGCGTTTATATCCCAGTGTGTGTAACCCGAGCTTCGGTAGTTTGTTTAGGATAGATCTAGCATTAATAAGGATTAGGTAAAGTTGAAGAGTTTGTTTGAAGTATTTAAGCTAGTCACTCAGGCTCAAGTTTGGTTCGGCATCTACTGGTTCCGCATGGCACAGCAACCCTGTGTCGCAGTTGGCGTGAGTATCATGTTCACCTCTGCCTATCGAGTCAGCACCTATTTCTTTTAGTGAATAACAAGTTTTTTACAGAATTTACCATAAGATGAGGTGGTTCTAGGCTTGGATAAGTTGGAGGCTTGGGTAGGAGTTCTTATTCGGTCTGTGTTTGCACAAGCATTGGATGTGATTAACAATTCCTGCGTCTGTTTTCTCTCCGACAGGGAGCTAACATTAGTGTTACGGGTTCAGAAGAGTTAATATCACCACCAGTTGTTTGGTTAGCGCTGACAGGGATGTGGTGGATAAAAAAATCACTGGTACCTTGCGATGCCCATGACTTAGTTAATCTGTCTATCGTTTGGAGACATTCCAAGTGAACTTACATGGGTTTCGTTATATGCATTGCTGCACTGTGGTTTGTACCCCAGAAGACTTATTCCGTACATTCTGCCCAAGTAGGTTTGCGTGTCACTTTGAAGACCTAGAGTGGTTGGTAGCTGAACTCTGAGTGCTGCCACTTGTACCATTTTGCGTGTTAGTGTCACTGCACCAGCTACTAGTCTGACTTGTCGTCGTATGCGAGCAAGCTGTGTCGTTATTGTCTGTGAACCCCATGTCCTCATTAATGTTTTTAATTTGGTAGTTAGCACACTAATGAATATTACTTACCTTACAGCGTGGATTCCTTTAAGGAGTGAGAAAATGGCGGTGATTTTTCGTAACAAGTGCCATGTTTTGTTACCGAATTCCATTTGACTTGTGACTTTTTGGCTATGAGGGGATGTTGTAGACATACGAGAGCTATTCGCTTCCGTCATAGGGCTATCCAGAGAAGTGTCTGCATCCATGGTAGAATTTGGAGAGGAATTATAATCCACAAAGTTTTCGTGTTGTGTTTTGTTCTGTAGGGCTAATTTTCTGAGGTTTGAGAGACTATGAGCTCCACCATGTTGGCCGTGGGTTTATCTATTTCAGGGACATGCAGTGTCTCATCCTTCTAGGTTTATTGGGGTTATTGTAAGCACGCCTTTCAATCACTTTCTTATCCGCTACGACTTTTGTTTGTTTGTAGCTCGTGTCCTGTTATAGGATACGTTGCGAATTTCTTAGCCTCTATCTGTGTTTCAAACTGAAGGCGTATAGGGCAGCAGTGGTCGTGCTGACTCTTTTTAACCTGTAGCATTTGCTTGGGAGTTAGGCATTTTCGCCGCCCTAAGTAAGATACTTCGAACTTTTTTCAACCGCCCATTATCCGGTTTATTATAGACTATCACACTTAGTTTGGTATCTAGTCTTTTGATACCCTCTGTTGTGATGAAGTTTATCAAGGTGTCTAGCTTAGTTGCTGATTCTGTGTCAAGTTCGGCAGGGTTTATGGTTCTGGCCAGGTTGTTCAGAGGCGGAAGTTCTCAGACTTATGATTTTATGTCACTAATCCGCATTGATAGTCCAGGTATGCTGGTCAAATTTTCTGAACATCCTGCATTCATTGCCTTACTACACCCTATATCCCACATTTCAGTCTTAAGTTCTTCTGCAGACAGCTTAAGTCGTTTTATTTCTGAAGTAAGTGTTGAAGCTGGACTTGGTATCTGAAGATTTGTGACGCGTACATAAGATGAAGCGAAGAGGCCTACGTTAGGATTTGTAGAAGCAATGCTACCATGAGTTGTCAGCATACTTTTGCTGTCAGTTACGGCCACAGTAGGTGGTAGTGATACATCAGCCCGACGCTTGGGACGAACCAAGCTGAAATGTAACGCAAAAGTTGAACGTACCGCGTTCATTCTCTTTTTTATTTTTGACGTAACACTTAGATGCAGAGAAAGCTTATAAGCTACTCAGTACTGCCGCCAACGTGTTCCCAGTGGACATTCTGAGCGTATCGTAGTACTTTCCGTGGCAGCCAGCGGTTGTTCTGAACGTTCTAACTGCTAGAATAAATGACCATGCCAATTGTTCTTCATGGATGAAATGAGAATATATGAGGCATTTTAAAATTCATAAACTCAGCCCGCTTTGCAGTCATCCTAGACGTTTACCGTGCACCGTACTGTGTCACTGAAATTAACAAACTGTTTTCTACTAGCGGGTTATTTCGTCCGGGTTTATTTTCACCTACTGTTTCCAGCTAACCATTTCATGTTGTTCAATTCACCCTAGCTTTTAACCAATCTGAGTTTCTGATAATCTTATTCACTTACATCATTACAAAGATTACCAGTTGCCTTGAATTAATCTTGCGATGTCTCCTCGTCAAGAAAACAAATACGTTTCGTGGAAATTGTATCTGGCGGCATAGTGGGAAGCACTTTTCATAGAAACTTACAATATGCGCAAATAAATTGTGACGTGAGTTTGCATAGCGGGAAGTTACTGTATTGAAGTTGACACTACTTGCAAAATTTATATGTCGGAATCTGACGTCTTGAAGGGAAAGTGAGTCACATACACCGAATGACAAGTGTGGTAGTAATCAAAAAAGTATGGCAGCGAAGTTCGTGTTTATGTCACGACGTTAAGACATGAGTTGAGATATTGTGAAAAATGTCGGTAGTGAATAAATGATCTCATTTTCAAGCACTTAAATGCCTCAGTCAGTTTTAGTGTCGTCCTGATCATGTCTTTGTACAGCTTTAAGCGTCAGTTTGATTCTATTTAATCAACAGTGTTTCATGGAATGAGTCATAGGCACTCGTGCCTTGCATGACCGGATTCTGAATCTTATGTCTGTGTCAAACTGTTATCTGTATATTTTATGCTGACTTCTAACTAAATATCTTCATTCTACACAACAAATCTGGTTTTTTCTAATTGCATTTGCATTATGACCCCCCCTGTAATCCAGTACCACCCATTATCAACGTCACTATCCGATTTCACAAGATGTTTTATCACATCTGTGAGAACTGCACATGAGTTCACTACTGATGCGAAATTTTTTTTATATGTGACTTCTGTGAGGCATGGGTTGAATCTAACAGACATTCCATTGTATGAATACCTCTGTCTTTACCTCATGTAATCCACAAGTCAGACTACAGTCTTCCTTCATATACCAGTTATTCACATGATCGTTGTGACAGGAGAGGACATATTATTAGTTAGTGCTTCTGGCAAGATTCTGCAGACCATACATCCCTTCGTAATGTAGGTTAAGGGGCATGTCAGTGGAAAACGTGGTGTCAACTATGTGAGGCTCTTGCAAAGCCAGCTTGAGGTAGGGGAGAACGTATCGATAAATCGCACGTGAATTACCCGGAAATACAAATATTTCACAGCTCACGAAGCACAATCATTTGATGAATGGCAATTCTTCACCCGAAACATTTGATCACGGTACATATAGGTTATTGTAATCTTAAACTTTTCAAATTTAGCCAAACAACACAGTAACTCTATGCATCTTCTAACTTTAGTGACCTTCCGTATGATGTCGCAGAGAATGCTGAAAATGATCTCGTGATTTTGCGTCTGATGTGCAGGATCTAATTTTTAACCGAAATTTTGAAGAAAGAGCCCAGATTTTGAAAACGTAACGTCTGCATTCGATGGTGGGGAAATTCATATAACTTATCACGGCGTAATAAGATATGTAATTTTACCTGATTTCCTCAAACAGGATGGCACTAAACCTGTTTCCTCAGTTCTTAATGTGACACTCAGGCATTTGTTTTAAATAGTACTGTGAACAAAGGCGGGAGCTACCAATCTTGTTTTTATGGTGGTTTTTATTTTGCTATGGATAATGTTTTCCTATCGTTGGCTGGGAACCATTCACTAATGGAAAATGGAGGATTTCCAGGTATAGTATTTTATTTGTGCACAAACTGATAGGGATTTCTGAATAATTAGTCTCCATGAATAGTATAAGTGATCACTTTATGCATTACCGTTTGATACACTTTGACAACTAATTAGTTATATGCTTTCATTTTACGCACAAAACTTTCACCAGGTGAAAGCTTTGTGTTCTGATAATTTTGAATATTACTTCATGCTGTTTGCATAGTAGAAGTCGTAAGTATGTATAATGATGTGAGCTTAGTCTACATTCTGAATATGAGTTCTGGGTACATTTTAAGCTGAATAAGTTGTTCTTACTTGAAATGTAGAAAGTACTAATTTTGACGTTCTCCATATCATTGTAAGTTACTAGTTGTACTATAGACTACTAGTTTACCGCTAGTCACTAAATGAGGTCTCCCTGCAGCCGTCTTTGACTCCTGTTCTCAAGTCTGATTTCTGAATGCAGAACTTTACTTCTGCCTAACCCCGAGTAAATAAAACAGATGTATACAGTCAATGGAATCATTGGGCTACATCTAGAACTGAGAAAAAAGTGTGTAACCGAAATTATCAGAAGCTAATTCTCCTAATTTGAAGAGATTTTGAAGGGATTGGTTTTGTTTTAAATAAGCGTTAGAGTTAACATATGGGTGGAAAATTGGGTTTCGATTTCTACCGTCTAGTTTCACCTAGTGTTGTTATTTATTTTCACCAACTATTCAAAAGTAGGATAAAGTACTTATATTGGCTACTGATTGTGTGTACTACTGCTTAAGTCTCTGAAAGGCTACATCAATTAGAGTACAGAACTTTGAAAAGCGCCGTATACTTTTTGCGGAAATGCTTTCAAAGTAAAGCTGTCATAGAACTCGATTATTATGTTAGATACCGTGTTATAGTCATTTTTATAGTTCCATATCAAGCCCTTGGGACCAAATAATACTTCTCAGTTAAATTTACATTACATTATGGTCACTGTATTAAATGTGAATGTGATATTTCAAAGGTAATCGAAAGTGAATATTTACTTCACGACGGTAGACTATTTTGAGCCATAGTGTTTTGGGTTATTGAAATAAGCATTTGACTCCCAATGAATAAGTTGACAGTCTAGATTTGACTTTATCCACTGAGGTTTGTTTAGGTAGTATCACCAACCTTCAGATGAAAAGTGTAGCTGATTCCTGAGTGCATTTATATGCACTTGGTTCTTGAGTAGTGTTAATTTTCAACGTTATTTCACCGTGAGCCTCCAAGTATGTATTCTCAGCATTCCAGAGGCCTCAGCTATTCACACGGTTTCACTAAATTGAGCCAAGAAGGGAATTCCAATAAATGATCCCTCGCTTCCATCAATACTTGAACAGTACATTTCACTTTTTTTCAGTTTGAAGGTTGTAGACTTGGACTCCATTTTATTGACTTACTTTTCTAGCGACTATACAATACAAAATGTGTGCCGCTCATAGCCTACAACTGAAATCTTAGCATAATTTGTTCTGTCTACACCCACATGAACAAAAAAATTTTAAGACAAAAATATGCATGTTGCTGTTAGATTTTATTTTTCTCCTAACAAGAATGTCCTATCAAACCAATAAGCTATTAACATGGTAAATTTGATGTTACAACTTCTTCAGTATCTATACGGTTGAGAAATAATTAATTAAAGGAATCGCCCTGCTAAATTCATGTGAACTTGAGGAATGAATAGATAGGTCTTATAAATTTAGTTTCAAAAATACTGCGGCTAGCATTCATATATGTTGAATATACTGTTGCGCAAAAATAAGGACAACGTGCGACAAGGCGGTGATTTACTGCCCTTAAGTTGTTTATTTGCTTTCATACTGCTACACTATTTGACTTTTTGCATTGAAATGGATAACGATCAGTGTGTGTCGTATTTCTGAGTTATTTTGACTACCATAGCTTTTAACGCCTTAACATCCTTGACACTGTTCCCTTGTTAGTTTTGTTGCTTTTCAAACATGGTAGGTAATCGAATGAAAAGTGGTCATTTTGAGGCTAAGATCACTTCATCTATATTATTTATAGTGAACCCACTGTCATCATTATTGCATATATATATATATATATATATATATATATATGTTACAAGGGTCACAGATACCAGTTGGTAAATATTGTATACTTTGTTCCTAGAGGATTCATTTTGAAAATGAATGCAAAGGAAATCATGCACGGAATTCTCCTATTGATATTAATATTAATAGAAAAACATGTAAACTACACGATGAAATTATGAATCTTCATCGTTTAAAGTGGTTGGTGCATGTTTCAGGCAAAATTGGAATCATGGCTTATTTATATAAGCCCTGTTTTTATGCATTAAAATTATGAATAAGCCAATCTCTTGTTATACTAGGTTGGGCGACCAAGTGGTGTCATAAGTTCTTACACCCAAATGGCAGCTCACAGTATCGAGTTGTATCGGGTCTCAGTAAATTTTTCAGCTTAGAATTGGTTTGGTAGAAAATACGCTGTCATTCCATGTGTATTTATTTAATATACCACACAGTAATGCATTATTATTTGCTCGGTGACGTTTAGCGAACAGTCTATTGCTCATTATCGTGTCATTTTGCTTTGATTATTACTTAGGCAGTTTGTGTTCAGTCTTCTTGGGGTGTTATCACAGAGTTTTCAAGATATCGGCAATGTACTTTCTCGACACCCTCCAGGGCCAGAATTTGTTACAGTACCTCTTGATTGATAGTATATAACGTCTTTTGTGCTGCAGAGTTAGTGAAAACTCAGTTACTCAAACTACTTGTCATGTACCAGGCTATGGACAATTTATTTTGTAAAAACTAATGATTCTACTTGGATCCCCAGGCTGAAGTTGGTGGAGTGGGATTGAATGCCTCGCACTGGTTGAAAGTGAATTGCTAAAGCCAGTGAGTTGCGGTTGAAGTGCTCCCCAGATAATATTGCCATGTGTATCAAGTACATTTGGTTAGGGAGACTATCTGAACTGCTACCTGCCAGTTTGTAGGTGGAGACAACGCTCTGGTTTATCAGCACATTAATAGTGATAAATGAAGATTCACTCTAGTAGTACGGCTTTGAATCTAAGCGATAATACGATATGAACTAGGTCGGCTACGGATGTCACAACATTCGGTGGTGAGTACACTTACGATGTAAGAAAAAGATATTCTGGGTACTTTGCTGGGTTTTATATGTGGGTCTGTGAAATGCGATATACATCAAGTGCAGAGTTTTCCAGCGTTCTGACCAAGTGTGTCTGCTTGCCGTTATGCATTAAGACGCGAACTGTATGTCCAGCAAGCTTATTAAAACATCGCGAAAGTCATGTAAAATGCTGAAGTGATTGATAAGCAACTTGTTACCGGACAAAAGTTGTGCCGGTTTAGAATACGATGACTATAATCCTTTTAGGTTAGGCAAGTTGGAGAAATGTAGTCTGCTAAATACTGAGTTGAAATTTGACTGTTTTTTGTATATAGTTCACTCATTTGATGAAATGCATTACTTTATAGCCGTAAAATGACCACTGAAAGAAAGAGATATAAAAGGTTTACAGGCTTTTGATCACAAGTGTGTTTTGTAACATGGTTTATCTGTAGTATACTTGTACAACATGTAATACTGGCGTTTAGGCTGAGTAAGGTGGGTTATTCAATGAGTCTAAATTTCCATATGCTACGCCAAGGTGAACACAAGTTGCACATTCTGACCCACCGTTTTCATCGACAAGCAGTCTTTACTTAAGTTGAATTGGATCATTACTTGTCTGGAATTATTGGTTGCTCTTGTAGGGAAGACTGTTGGATTGCAAGGATCAATCGCAGGATAATAAAATCGTTTTCATTGGTGCAAAAATAATAACTCTTGATCATCCTTAATATTCCAGACATCCCTAGGCTTCATTAAATCCATCCATCTCCTTCACATGTTTGACCATTGTAGTATTGTTAAATTTATCGTCATTTTTAAGGATCTCATTTTCAGTTGATTCACTTTTGTGACAGCTCCTACGTTAATTTGTCTAAAGTCATCTGTAAATTTTGTTAGCTGGATTCCCATAATTACCAATGACCAAATCAGGTTTATTTACTATCCGTTCCTATCGAATCTGTGATGTCGTGTAAATTGGAATCAGAGTTTCCAAAACCCCTTAAATGGTTCATCGTTACCCACCGATCTGGCGATATACACTGTATACTGTATATTCATATTCTCATTTTCTTTTTCGTGGGAATATCCATTCTGGCTATATGAAACCAGTGAATAGAAATTACCTGTCGGAGGTTATAAGGTTTTAGTTACATGAGCATATTTTTCCAGGAAGACCAGGGTCACCGTACTAGATAGATTGTGTACAGAGTACTTTCGATGTTGATGCCTATGAGAAGCGATATTGTTTGTTATAATAGAATCCAGTCATGCATTAGTGTGAGAATGCATTTGTTTTTTAACGGTGAAAATATTTTCTCATTGGCTTCATCATCATCATCATTTAACTTCCAACCAATGTATCTTATGACTTCAAAATTCACTTCTCTTCCTGGACACAACTAATTAGCACTATGGTACCTGACACATCAAACTGTACTTATAACCTATAACAGTATCCTATATTAGGTAACTAAGTATTATTATTAGTATTGTTTTTCACATTAGAAACATCATATTAATCTTTCGCTGTAAAATTGACGCAATTGTATCAAGAAATATTTATTGTATGCTAGCTAACATTGATGACTTTATAGTAAACTGTAGAGCGTAAGGAGGTTATTGAAAAAAATTACCCTCATTTATGGCTGTGAGATGTAGTCATTGAAAGTGGAAGGCTAGCAGTCTTTGATCATTCATAGTCTGCGTCCTATCTCCCGTATTAAGTGGTATAATATAATGAGTAGTATTGAGGTTAGGAGGAGTCTAGTGTTAAGTAAGGAAGTAGGTTGTGAAGTTACATCGATTGAAATGGCTAGGGCATGTATTACGTATGCCTAGACATCGCCTTCCCCGATAGGAAATGTTCGTTGACTTAAGATTAGCTTGGAAAAGAATTAGGAGTGGTCAAATCGAAATCTGGAATCAGTGCACGAAAACTTTGTCAATTAGCGTCAGCCACCTAGGGAGATGTAGGCTTCCTGGTCGGATTCCTTGGGATTCTAAGAGCCAATGACTGGAGACTATTGGAGATATGGCTCAATGGCACAGATACATTCACTCTGTGTGATGTCCAGTATTGATTAAACCCCAGTGTGTTCCTGTGTTACTCTTCTTTATCCCTGGTTATTATGGTCCTTCTTAACGCTTTTTTTCCCTGTCTCCCTTCTGTCTACCTTTGTGTACTACATGGAATATGGCAACTTGAACTGCTGCATTTTTATGAAAAAGTTCTGTGTTGAGACTGAGTCAGTATTGATAAGGATTTTTTTCTTTTTTGTCAATTTTGTTTGCAATTTTATGGTGCTTATTTCAATGACTGTTTATTTTTCTCAAACAATTCTTCAATGCGTTTCTAAGATCCTGGCCTTAGAATTGCTTTGCCTTGTAATACTTGCTAAATGATAATGTTTTAAAACTGATATCTATGTTGGCCATGGATTGATATCGGTTAGAGAACCACTGAAAATCACGGATTTACTGGACTGCTGTTTTGTCCTATTTTCAGGACAAATCGACAGTACACGCCCACTGGGATTCGAGCCCAGGACCTTCCGGTTAAAAGGCAAACTCGTAGACCATTCAGCCGCTGGAATCCAACTTAATGTGGCCCATGAATTCTAACTCCTATCAATTCGTGTTTTTAGTGCTATTGGCACCAGCCAGTATATCATCGGTGGATATTTGTTCTCACCACCGACCCGGTAGACTCCACTGGTCATGACTTTTCAGTAGAACTTCCAGCGATGTCATCCTGTAGTCAGTCAATAGTGAGCATCAGATTGATTGTCACGAATTTGTTTGTAGGTATTTGATTTATGCATATATATGTATATGTATATATATATATATATATTGTATGGCTGATCAAATTTTTTGTACTAATATATTTCTTTTTTTGTATTGGTCAACTTTTTCTTACACGAATTTCGCTTTATTCCTCCCTCTGTCTATGTGATTCAGTCATGGTTCAAAATCCACATTTTGCTTCATGGACTCAACTTTCTGCTCAAACAGCAGCAGCAGCAGCTGGTAATGCAGCGGCTGCTGTAGCTGCTGCAGCAGCAGTGCATCCAGGCGCAGCAGCAGCTTCATTTCAATTCCCTAATGCTACTGCATCACTTCAACAACAGCAGGTATCTGACTCCTCCTCCTCCTCTTCGTCAACATCGTCATCATCAGCAGCCGCTGTTGCCAACTCCACGCGTGGTAATTCTGTTGTTAGTGTAGACAATTCAGTTACAGTCACAAATGCAAGTAATGCCTTTCCACTTGGTTTACAACCTTCAGTATCTTTAACTTTACAACATTCTTCTATTCTTCCTACACAGTCACAACACCAACAACAGCAACAACAACAGTTACATCAACAACAGTTACAACTGCAGCAACAACAACAACAACAGCACCAGTTGCAGTTACAACAGCAAATCCAATTGCAACAGCAACAATTTAGGCAACAACAGCACTCACTACAGCAGCAGCAGCAACAACAACAACAGACTAGACTTTCAACGCCACATTCTCAACAACAACAGCAACAGTTACATCAACATTTACAGCAGCGACAGCTTGCGCTTGCACAACAGCAGCAACAAGTGAATCTTCAGACTGGCAACACGACTACCAATACAAATCAGCTGTTATCCACCTCATCAATTGTTCCAAATACTTCTGGTTTTATGCAAAGTCCACCAGGAATAAACCTTCAAACAACACTTCCTAATCAATCTGGCATTGGGACATCATCTGTACTCAATACTGGTAATTTCCCGTCATTCACTACAACTAATGCTCCAGTGAAACAAAAGCGAAAATCTAAAGCTATCAAAAAATCACATGTTGATGGTGTATCTAACACAACAATGACATCGAATACAGTTGTTCTTCCGACATGCAATAGTAGTAGTAGTAGTGGTAGTCTATCGAGTAGTACAATGTGTTCTACGATGTCTCCTTCGTTTAGTTTAATTTCAATGAATGGTAATGTATCCACAACAACAACAATAACAACAACGACAACAGCAGCAGCAATAACACAAACAATAACACCGACAAGTCAAACAAATTCTATATCCTCTAATCCAGTTCTCAATGAATCGTGCAGTTCACCCTTATCCTCAGTACTCTCTCCATTACCAACTCTTCCGGAGGAAATATTGTTAAAAATTGATCCTTCCTTAGGTGATCCACCACCTCCACCACATGCAGATATAACCATTATAAAACCATATCAATGTGATCAATGCTTTAAACGGTATTCAGGTATGAAATCATTGAAAAATCATAAACTAACACATTCTGATATACGACCGCATAAATGTTCTATATGCGGTAAAGCATTTCTTAGAGCGGATAAAATGCGTCTTCATGAAATCTCTCATTTAAATTTAAAACCATTTGAATGCACTACATGTAAGCAAAGATTTACACGTTCAGATAAACTGAAAATTCATCATCGTACGCATACAGGTGTACGTCCATATGCATGTACATTTTGCCCTAAACGATTTACTAGATCAGATAAGCTGAAAATTCACGAACGTATACATACAAAAGTTAAACCCTATGAATGTTCACATTGTGGTAAGTGTTTTGCACGATCGGATAAACGTAGACTACATGAAAAAACGCATATGTATGGACCTCGACCTCGTGCTGCTACAAATACTGGTGGTGGTAAGAAATCGAAGACTGCAAATAATGCTACAGCTAATGCTGAAGCAGCGGCGGCTGCAGCTGCTGCAGCAGTTGTTGCCGCAGCTTCTGCAGCCTCCTTTCTGACAGTGAATTCAATCGGAAAAACTCTTGGTCTCCCATTGACTGTTGCTGCTGCTACACCATCGGTTAGTGGGAATAATAATACTAATAATCCATCGTCAGCCGCCGCCGCCGGTGTATTCGATTTTACTTCTATTACAAATGTTTGTCCAACAACTGGTCAAAATACTATATGCTTTCCATCCTATCATAATGTGAATTCATCATCTACAGGCAGTAGTGAGAAAACCGCTGATAATCAACAACTTTCAGCATCTTTGTCAACAATTACTTTTCCTCTGCCTACTTGTCAACAATTGCATTTACCATCACAGCATCATTCAACGTTAGCCTCGCTGGCTGGTATTGCACAATATCATCCAGCACTATTCTCAGCTCATCCACGTCAATTTTCACAGGTTGCAACAGCAGCAAACTCGGTTTCTTTTTATCCAACAAATCATCAAACTAACTCTATGAGTGGATTTACTACAAGTAATTCAGCAGCAGGAGCAGCATCCTATCCTTCGCATGCACAGGTGATGCCATTTCTGGTGAATTCTACAAATACAGCCGCATCATCACCTGCTATCTCTTTCTCCTTGGGCTCATCGAATACAGTGTCTGAAAATAGTGCATGTTCTGTGGCTAATACTTCTTCTAATATATATCAAAATGCTTCAAATCAGAAAATGGGAAATTCTGTAGTTTCATTTCCAGTTAGTAGTAGTAATAGTAATAGTAGTAGTAGTACGCCTAGTGGTGCTCCTGGTGGTGGTGGTGGTGGTGGTGTAACACAAAGATCAGAAGTATCATCATCAGGAGTTGATTCTGTCTCTGCGAATAGTCTGTCTACTTCAGTGTCGAATACTAATATTGCTGCTGTGATGGCTGCTGCAGCATTAGGTCGACAATTTCATCAAAATCAACAACAACAGCAACAACAACAATATCCACAAGTTGTTGCCTATCCTGGTTCACAACAAATGTCTGCTTTCATTCATCATCAGCAACAACGTCAGCAACAACAACAACAACCTCAGAATAGTCAACAATCACAAGAAACTTCACAACAACAACAGCCACAGTCAGCACAGTTTGTTCACCATCAGACACAACAGTCGAAACAACTTCAATCACAACAGCATCCTTCTCAGCAGCAGCAACAACAACAGTCTAGACCTCAGTTCCAGTTTTATCAGCCACAATTTGCGCATCAATTTCAGCATCAAACTAACCAACTGCAACAAGATCATCAACATCAAATGTTACAGCATCAACAACAAGTTATACAACTACACCAACAACTTCAACAACAACACCAACAGCAGCAAGCTCAGCAGCAGCAACAACAACAACAAGCTCAACAACAGCAACAACAAGCCCAACAACAGCAACAACAAGCCCAACAACAGCTGATGCAACAACATTCTGCTGCTATGCTTCAACAACAAGGTCTTATTTCACCTGCACATTCTGGTGCATCAGTAGCTGCATTTAGTTTATTCCCTCAAGCTGCTGCTCAATTTATCCCTGGTGTAGTACCGGCACAGTATGCTGCTGCTGCCGCGGCAGCAGCTCATTCAACACATCAACAGTATATGCAAGTTCAACAGCAACAACAACAACAGTATTTAGCGGCGGCTGCTGTTGCAGCTGCTGCCTCCTCTGGACCAATTCATTCACTGACACTTGCATCTCAGCATCAGTCGAGCAGTACAACAGCAACGCCAACAACATCAACGTCTACTTCTTCTACAAGTGGTTCTGCGGTTGCTTGATATCCTGTTGTCGTCACATAGATCGATCAGCTGTTGCTTTTTTAAAAAAATTTTATTTATCTGTTTATATGACGGGAGTTTCGAATCTCGCTCCTGTCTGTAGCCACTCTACTCTTCGGCTTTAACAATTAACTGGGTAGTGAGGAGTGTGCCGTTAGCCTTCCCTTCCCCCATTGTCTCTTTCTCCGTCATACACCATATATTTGTGTGGTTTGTGCATACCCCGGTACCGGGTAATTAACTGAGTTGTAATCAAACCTAAGCGAAACTTATTTATTGATTTATTTATTTGAAAAGTAAATAGGTTAAACAGTAGTGTAATATATATTTTATTTTCATTTGATTTCCTTGTAACGATATGAGAAAAACAATGTTAGGTAGTGTTTGTTCTCTTTTTTTCTTTCTTTCTCTCTTTGTTTTTTCTGTTTTGATGAGAAACTTAGTCATTTTTAAAACCAATTTCTTTCTTTTCTTTATTTTTTTGGCGGTTTTTATATCACCTCTAGTTATTAAACAAAAATGTTGTACTTGCATTTAATTTTTCCTGTGTGGTGCTGGTGATGGTGGTGGTAATAGCGCGTTGATCAGCGTACTTACTACTGGACTTGAGTTGATTTGACTTGACTATGGTGTTGTACCGCCCTCCCCTCCAATGATTTCATTATGTATTACTGTGTATATTACTTGTATGTATATATAATTATGTCTTATTTGAACCTCTTTATTTTCCTTTTTTTTGCTTACTTATGGGACGAAGTTGATGACAATCAGTCAGTTTATATTTGTAATACTTTTCAGCAATAAAAACCCAATTATCCACTGTTCACAATCGACTATATGCATTTATTATATATGTTTCCCCTGTTCTTCTTCTTTTGGGGGTGTGGTGGGGCAGATATTAGGTACTACTATTGTCTCTTATCTTAATGTAATTATTGTTTTTGTTTTTACATAATATACCACTGTGCGTGTGTGTTTATGTGTTGGTGGTACCCCCATCGTGTTCAGTGTATTCACACACACATACAGGCTGTGTTGTACAAATACAAACAGCACTATTTTTGTTTTTACATGCTTATATAACACTCCTGTTTTTATGTGTCGTTCATCTGCCTTTTTTGATGAGTCGATTTTCTTACAACATCCTACAATTCTGCTATTCCTTTCCTTTATTCTCGTCATCGTCGTCATCCCTCTCCCCTCCTCATCTACCATAGGCTTTAAATTCACTACAGTTACCCGTTTTAAGCGTGTGTACTCATTGCACTAATTGGATACCGGGGCTGTGTAATCCCAACAAATAGAAACATTGCTCTAGTTATTATTATCCTCATTATCTTTTATTTAGTAATATATATATCGTTATTTAGACATTATTGGACAATATAATGAATGACTTCGTTTTCTTCCTATACTATTGTAATTCCTTTATTATTAGACATTTATTCATCTCTATATATACATATCTTATATATGTATGCATACAATACAACAGTTTAACTCCTACTTTTTATTTGTTTATTTTTTGTCTTTTAATATGTAATTATCCTCTTATTTGTTTTTTTGTTTAATATGGCTAAAATTCGTTCATTTTTTCACCTATCCAATCATCCACCCACTCCCCGCCTACGCAAATGTGTATTTTTTGTTATAATGCAAAACTTTTTATTTCCCCCTTTTTCTCTCTGCGAGGTTATTCGTTTTCAACCAACCAATCAATCAGTTAGTCAGTCAGTCAGTGAAACAAATAGTCCGTCAGTTAGCCCATATGTTTTTCTCATCTAAAGCAAATACTATAGACCCCTCTGATTATTTTTTTCTGTTAGTGCAATTAAGGCGTAGGCGCTTACGACGACTATCATTAATTTCCACTCCTCCCTGTTTTACACTAATATACAGACAGGTGGGCGGGTGGGCAGACAGACAGGCAGACAAAAGGTTGTCTGTTTGTTTATTGTCAAAATATATATGTATCACTAGTTAATTAATCAATCCTGAAGATAAATTTCGGATGTGAGGAGAGGGGGGCTGTTTGGCGGGTGGGTGAGAGAAAAAGAAGGCGCCAAATGTTGCTGTTTATTTATTTTTTTTAAGAAAAATTTCCCCTGCCGTCATCTCATTCATCGCCTTCATCCCCCCTTGATGTATTAATTTCAGCTATACCTACTTACCACACCTACCTCTTAAAAATAAATATGGTATTTCCTTTTTCTCTTGACTCTCTATGTTCCCGCCTTCATCTCGTGAGTGAGATATTTGTGCTGTATACTGAATGCTGATATGATCGTTTAATGTATAATTATGTATTTATTTGTGCGCATACATACACGCAGCGTTATGCTAACTCTGAGTAGTTTTCTTTTTTGTGTGTGTAGCTCACCACGGACGGGGTAGGGGGGTAGGGCAGTTAACTAGTTGCTTTCTCCTTTTCTTTCTTTAAATAAAAGAGGAACATAAATCTGTATAAAGAAAGTAAGTTTGATAACTTCTCTCTGCATATACAGTGGAATTCCTTCTTTCTCTCTCCCCCGTCCCCCATTGTCTTTTACCGCCGAAAAATCTTTTGTTTTGTGTATCTTTTCCAATTGTGCTGTAAGCAATCTTTCCCTCTGCCTACCAACCTTCCAAATATATTTATACATTTGTGCTTTATACCTGTGACTGATGATGCAATGCATTTTCTCTTTATAAGTACTACCATCATCATGGTTAATGTTATTACAATTATGATTACTATGAATGAATAGTGAGTGACAAATAATATTTATGCTTTGTATTATTATTTATTGTTCTTCTTCCTCCCCCTCCCTCTTTTTGAGACTTCTTTTTATATCCTGCGTGTACACCCGGATTTGAAATAAGCATCGTAAGTCCCTAAAATTTATGTAGATATATCGTTTAATTTCTCTTCATTCCTGTTCCCATGGTTACTTTCTCTGTTTTTAAAGCTTTTTTGTATTATTTCTCTATGTGAGGGAACCAAAGTCAACAGTATGAATATTAATAATAATAATAATAATTATTATCATTTTTAATTTTGATGTAAATTTGTTTTTGTCTTCTCTTTTTCTCTCATCACTATGTATATTTGTCTGTATGTTTGCGCATGCGTGTGTGTGTATGTTTGAATGTATGTGTTTGACTGTTCCTAGTTGTTCATTGAAAATGTTTTGAACTATGAATGAAGGCTATTCATTTATTGTGTAAAAAGAAAACAGCCTATGATCTTATTATATAATAATAATAATCGATAATAATATTACTATTGCATTACATGATTTGTGTTTTTGTGTATGTGTGTGCGTGTGAGTTTCTGTCATTGTATTTGCATTCAAAGTATTTTGCGGTGTTCGCCTGATCAAATCATTCATGATGATTTTTTATCGTGGAAGTACTCATAGAATCGAATTTAACCTCTGACTTTAGTGACTTAAGAATTGGCTTGTTAAATCAGCCCCAACGGGTTGATCGCTGACGGAATCTCAGTGCGGATACAGAGGGTTTATGCCGTCTCTGGAGTAGACGTGATATCCAGCTGGCTATCGATCAAAGGGCGGGTGTACTGCTCAACAGTCCGCTCCGTCCTCCTTAATGGCTGTGAACAAGACCTGGCCATTGAGAGTGGAAGACATGAAAAGCCTGGCTAGCTGTCTTTGATCATAGGTGCCTGGGTTCTATCTCCCATGTGAAATGGTATAATAAGGTATGTACTACTGAGATTAGGCTTCGGTCGAGTGCTAGGTGAGGAGGGGAAATCAATTAATGAGGCTGTGAAGCTACATCGACAGAGATGGTTCGGACATGTGTTACGTATACCTAGTCATGTTCAGTTATCGGTTAGGAAGTACTGGGATGAAGTTGTTACGTAACCCCACGCACGCCAATTATGTTTATATTAGCAGTTGGTGAATGAATAACCAGATCTCGTAATAACGAGACCGAAATCTGCTATTGATTCACAGAGGTTAACCTATCTTACAAAACTATGAGCTTCCTGGTTTAAAGACCAATAAACAGTCAGGGTCTATAACTTTTTAGTTGACAGTGGAACAAACTATATTTTCTAGTTTCGTTGTAAATGATGGCAACAATAGTAATATTTTCTATAGTTGGTTTGTAAGGATCAGATTTGTTTTTATGAGTTGATCACGGACCTTTGGAAATCAGCAGGCAGTACTGGACAGCTCTTTCATCCTAGTCTCTTGGGAATCATCGGCAGTACGCACCCACTACCAGGGTTCGAACCCAGGACCTTCCGGTTGCAAGGCAAGCTCGTATATCATTCATCCACTAGGACCCGATTCAGTGGCTAGCTCATGAATTCTAACACTTACCAATTCGTGATTTAGCGCGATCACCAACCAATGTCATCGATGGGACCGGAAGGTCCTGGGTTCGAACCCTGGCAGTGGGTGCGTACTGCCAATGATTCCCAAGAGACTAGGATGAAACAGCTGTCATGTACTCCCCTGCTGGTTTTAAATGGTATTCTATCTGATATCAATCCGTGATCAACTCGTAAAAATAGTAATGTTCGCTTGATCATAATTACTAAATGATGACTGCTAGTTATGTATGGGTGTTGGTTGTTGTTGTTGCATATCGTTGCTAATTTTTCATCTTCATAAATCATGCGGTTCCCAAAGATTTCAGTCTTACTACAGCGTTCTAGGAGCAAGAAATTCTGGCTGGAAACAGACCAACCAAGAGCCGATAGCTCAACAGATATGTAGGAGAAAATGGAGATGGACCGGGCATATACGTTGAGGAGGCCGTCGAATAGCATCGCACTCAATGCTGACCATTGCTTGAGTGGAATTCCAATGGGAAGCGGTGACGAGTGGGTCGTTGGTGCAAGGATGACACGGAGGAGATCGTGTGGCTAGGAGGAGATGAGAGCTTACGGGCAGTCATGGACCCAGTTGAAGAGGATAGCAGAAAATAGAAGAAAGTGGTGGTGTGTTGTTGAAGCCCTGTGTTTCACTCGGAACCCAAGGGAA